CTTTCCATTATTCCATCATTTGTTACAATTTACAATGAAAATCCCAAAAGTAACACACACACTAACTAACCTAGACACACACACATGGTGGCATATGGTGGCAGCCACCACTTCAAGGTGGTGGCGGTGGCCTTTTCTCAAATTTTTGAGCAAGCATATCACACACAACACACACTTAACATATATACACTCCTTTGCTAGAGAAACGGATCCAAATCTCCCACTTACGATGGGAAGTGACGGCAACAGCCACCATGGTCGGTTGCCATGGTGGTTGTTCACAACTTCACTCGACAGAACCCACATGTAACCAAAAAAAACTTGCAACAACAACATCCAAACACTAACACAATAGAATCCCTAAAGCGCACTCGACATGGCTGCCCTCAAGGTGGCAGCGTCAGTCGGAACACAACAGCAGAAAAGAACAATTATTGGGGCGACGGAGGCGCGAGATAGTGGTCAGCAGCAACGACTAACAGCGGTGGCGAGGGTGGGCAACTCCCACCGCATACGATGCAACAACAACAAACAGAAGAGGGATGAGGAGGGAGTGGATACGACGAGGCACGAGGCAGACCACGTTTTCAGCGGAGGGACACAACGGTGGCTCAGTGGTTCGTTCGGCGGTCCAAATTGTCCGACATCAATACTGCGGTGGCATCCGACGGCTAGACCGTCGGTGATCGGGTGGTGATCAGTTATGAGAAAGTTACGGCTGGAGAACTTCCGATGATGGCGGCTGCTCAAATATTTAGGGTTAGGGTTGATGCCTGATGGCACTGGGATTATATACCCGGAGTTAGAAACTTGCTCCCATAACGACGTATATAGTCCCTCCCTTCGGAAATATTTTCAAAATAAGCCCCATATTTACCCTTTAAACCCATTCTTCATAAAATCTTACTATTTAAGTCCGTAACTTACCTTTTTAACCCTGCTCCCTAAAATCCTTTACAAATTAAATCCAACAGTTACCTAACAACCCTTCCTCAACAAATCCTTTTCAAATTTGATCCGAAATTTACTCTTTAGCCCTCATTGTTCCAAATTCTTTCCAATTTAATTCCAATGATCACACTTCAGCCATGTTAACATTTTTAGTCCCTCCTCCTCTCATTCTTTTCAACTTAAGTTCCAATAATTACCACAGAGCCCCTATCTTCATAAATATTTACAACTGGAGTCCAGATTATACACTTTTAACCCCCGATCTCTAAAATAGTGACAATTATCTCCTCAAGACCAACACTTTGCTATGAAATTATTGATTTTAGGGATACTATACATTCATCAATTTATTTATTTATTTATTTATTCAATAAACGGGGTGTTACAAAAAAAATATGGCTGGAGATTCAAAGCATACTTCTCAAGAAGATGGTTGGTATACAGATGCACCACGGGGTGTAAAAGAGGTGCTTACTCCTCAAATCGAAGCTCAACTATCCGAGCTTACAAAGGTGGTCATGATGTTGGCCAAAGGAAAAGGTGTGCATCCCACACCCCCATCCTTGTGGTATTTGCACTCAAGTGGGACACCCAACTGATATGTGCCCGCAACTACAAGAAGACATGTAAGAAGTGCACACAACGGGAAGTTACACCAGGCTAAATCAAAGGGACTACGATCAGTCCTGAGGCAATCAAGGGTGGAACAACAACCAAAGTATAGGTTATCAACAAAGACAACAACCTCCATACCAACAAATACCACCTTTCCCATCCTAAAATTTTCAGCAAAGGCAACCACAACATCCACCTCAACAAACGAGTTCATCAAACATGTATTTGGAAGACCTTGTAAAAAGTTTAGCAACTAGTAAACAAGCTTTCCACTAAGAAACAAAAGCAAGCATAAAGAACTTAGAGCAACAAGTTTCACAGCTTACCACGTCTATAAGTAAGCTAGAGTCTAAGGAAAAGTTATCTTCGCAAACTGAAAGCGAACCCAAGGCACAACATGTGTACCATCACGTTGAGAAGTGAAAAGAGTTACAATGGTCCAACAATGTCGGTTGATTAAGAAGAAGAGGGAGAAGAAATAATGGTTGAAGAAGCAACCAAAGAAGAGAAAAAGGAAGATAAAAAAAAACCCAAAAGAAGCTTGTCATCATCGAATCTAAAACCATACTTGCTTCATTTCCAGAAAGATTAAGGAGCACGAAGAAAGAACAGGATGAGAGTGGGATTATGCAAATGTTCTCAAGGGTTGAAATCAACATCCCACTCCTTGAGGCCATCAAGCAAGTACCTAGATATGAAAGGTTCCTTAATGATCTTTGCGTATCTAAAAGAAATTAAAAGGAAACCAAACTATTACAGTAGGGGAAAATGTATCCATTGTTTTGCAAAAGAGGATGCCCCCGAAGTGCAAGGATCTAGGTGTCTTTACCATGCCTTGAAAATTGGGGAATCTTTATGTACCTCGAGCCATGCTAGATCTTGGTGCATCTATAAATGTCCTACCATACTCTATTTATAAATCAATTGGTGTAGGAACATTGAGCAAAACCGTTGTGATCATCTAACTTGCCAACCGATCGATAGTACACCCAAAAAGTGTGCAAGATGACGTGTTAGTGCAAGTCAATGAATTTGTTTTCCTGACTGATTTTTATGTTCCAGATATGGAAGATGATGACTCTCCAAGTTCAAGTTACGAACTTCTAGGTAGACCTTTTCTAAAAACTTCAAGAAAAAAATTGATCTCTACAACGGAACTTTAACTATGGAATTTGATCAGGAAAAAAGGTTCCTTTCAATGCTCAATCTATTAATTTTATGAATACGATCCAGCTCTTGGCTGAAAAGAGCTTACACTTGACTAACCATGATTTTATGGGGTAAGTCTTGTTAAAAAAAATTAGACAGGGACAAAGCACAAGAACCAGAATAAAAAAAATCCCCTGGACCCTTGAAAGGATGCACGTCTCGAGAAAGAGAACACCCAACTAGTCATCGACTCAAACAAACTATCAAACAAGGAAGAGAAGGAGTTGATAATCTTGCTGAAAAAAAAAATACAAGAAGAGAATTGAATGAACAATTTATGATATAAAAGGTTTGAGCCCTTTTTGGTTCATGCAGAAAAAGAAAGCAAGAAAAAGGTTGAATGTTTTATTGAGGGAGGTGGCGAGAAGGTTGATGTGTTGGAGAGCCCCACATACTTAGATTGATTCATCTTCAGATGCCAAGTCGAGCCAACGACATTAAAAATGGGCGGCTAACCAGGAGGGAACATGGGGGTATTTTTGTCATTTTTCCCTTCTTTTTTTTTTTTTTTTTTCATATTTCATGGTTTTTAGTTGTTCCAAATGACTTTTCAGCACTTTCTATAATTCTCAATTAGTTTCAAAAAGAAAAAATGAATTTTAATGGCCAGAGGGTGCCAAAACCGAAAAATGCAATCCGATCACATAAAGGTTGACACGGCCCGTGTCGTTTTGACCACATTTGACATGGGGGTGTGTTTGAAAAAAAACAACCAATTTCATGAAGTCCGAGAATTCCCCGAACCGTGTCATTTTGCCTTGGTTTGACACGAGGCAGTGTCAAACACGCAGTGAAGTTTTTTAAATGAAAAAAAAAAAAAAAAAAAAAATCGGGTTTGCTCGTTCTAACACAACACCTCTTTATTTTCAACTTATTTATCTCTCTATTTTCTTCGCCAAAACTGATTTCACTCGTAATCCTCCTTTTATTCGTCAACTCCAAGTCCAATCTTCACCCAAGGTACGAAATTTCTTGTTCTAAACTTCATTTTCTCCTCCTTGAAGCTTCTCCTAGGAGCTCCCATGGGGAAAGAAGGGTTTTCTATCAAACCCAAGTCTAAAATTTTCATACAAATTGTGTTTACTTGCTTAATTTGTTGTGTAGGATAAGTTTGGGGAGGTTAAAGGAAGAATCTGCTTCAATGAAATCACACATTCAAGCTACAAATCGGTAGAATCCTTGTGATTTATAGTTTGCTTGAATATTCTTGAAAAACTAGCATCTTTTTGTGATTTTTTGTGTTTTTTGGTAAAAATCTTAAGTTGGAATTAGTTAGTCACTGTCTATTAGCTTTGTGCATTGATTTTTTTGAAAAATCGTGTATCAGACCCACAATTACACCAAAGAAGCACCGGCTCCCACGATTGTGTGACCTTAAAGTAATTAAGCAATAGATTTCACTTTTTCGTCTTTAACTTAATTTCATTTAATTATATGTTAATTAACTACTATGCTTTTTATTTTATTGTGTTTTAATGCTTCTTTCCATTCATATGTTACTTATTTGGGTAAATTTATCATTGTGGAATGCATAATAACAAATTATATATGCTTTTTATTTTATTGTGTTTTAATGCTTTTCTTATTACACTAGTCAACTGACCACCGCACAAGTTTAAACTAGTTATAATGATTCTAAAGTATAAATATTGATTATAAACTATTAGAAAAATATTAGTTTTATATTTGAGGAAATAGGATATTTTAAAAAATAGTAAGGGTAAATATAATATTTAAATTTTAAGTTGGATAAATAATAATGATTAACAAGGACAAATATGGAATTCATCATAAATTCTTTTATAAAATTTGCAGGTGAATAATACTCATTTTTTACACAATTATTGTTCTCAACGAAAATTATGCGTTCTTTTTTTGGTAGGATACTTGAAATAAATTTTTTCACAGCAAAAAAAAATAAAGCTTTCTACTTTAGTTTTGATCTGTAAAAACTAAAAACCAAAAAAAATAAGATTAAAAAGTCGTTAGTAATTTCACTGTTTGAATGTACAAAATTATATTTCACCTGAAAAAATCATTAGTTTTTTGTGAAAAGAACTTTTTGTAATACGAATATTCAAATACCATTTTCAAATAAATAAATACTATGCAGGGGAATAGTAATTTTGTAGGTTTAACATGCAATAATATATGAGAAAACAACGTGCAAAATTACTTTTCACCTGCAAAAATCTTGGAAAACGCTTAAAAAGGTTTAGCCAAAATTAATAATCATAAAATAATCAACTAATTTTTATTACATCCATACAATAATACCAAACAAATAACAATTTCAGAGTTTTTAAATGCAAGATAGAACAAGAACAGTATGTTGCAGCATATCAATCTCACATATTAAACTAAAACCTCAAAAATAAGTAGCAACATGACATTATATTTTCACTCACCTTAACAAGAACAACGACTACTACTTCATAAAATTCCAAATTCCTCTATTCCGAGGGAGTTGCCTTTATCTTCTCCTTCAGTTCACCATTCTTCATAACACAAAAAAAAAAAAAAAAAAAAACACAATTATAAATGAAAAGACCAAAGATAAAAGATAAAGATGCAGAAACTTACCTGATGCATATTCAGGATAATGTCTGATCCTCCTATGAATTCTCCATTGATAAATATCTGTGGAAATGTTGGCCACATGCTGCAATGCATACACAACCAACAAAAATTAATAATGAAATGGAAAAGTATGTGCCCTTTGACCCATTTGACTTGTTGACCTATATATAAATGGGTCGAAAGTCGAAACTACCACCTCTAATTGTGTTTGTTACCTGAAAGATTTTACAGCATTCTTAAGTTCAGGATCTTCCAATATGTTTCTAGAATGTATGGGAACACCTGCAAAAATCCCCACCAGCACTTGAAATTACTAAAACACCCTCGACAATCCAAATGGAAAAAGGAGGTAAATGAAACTAGCATTTTCAAATTTCCAAATTTACCCTTTTACTTTACAAAGATTTGAGCACTTACGATATTCACTCAACACTCTGACTGCTAATGAGCTGAATCCACAACGGGGTTGTTCTGGATCCCCTTTCATGTAAATCATCACATGGTTGTCCTTCACATCCTACATTTTGCAATTCACAAATGTTGTAATCATAAGATCCAAAGGGCATATTTTAGTCAAAAGAGGTTTTTTTGTTAAACTTGGACTGGAAGTAACCACCAACCTGCTCAACAATGTCTTTTAGGGTAAGTTGAGAATTTTCAAGCTTATTTGTGGGCTTGAAATCATCATGTGTATCCGGATCATTGGGTACACTAGTTGAAAATCTCATCCCATGCTGCAACAAATGGTATCAAGCATCAAGATTTTCAAATAAAAGCAATCACTTTAGCGGTAACTCAAGCAAACCTAGTATATACCATATTCTAATTTAAGTCATAGATGCTTCGAATAATTATCTAATAAGATATTTCTATACTAGTTATAACTTTATTAATGAGGCAAAACACTTGTTATGAATTGATTCGGACGGAGTAAGTTTTAACTATAGACTAAACGTTCAAAATAGAGCTTAAAACTCTAATTTGAAATCTAAATTAGAAGGTAAGGTCATCAATTTAGACAATATACAATTATAAGTTATAACATACCAAACTACCTATGTGGTTGTAGTGGTAGATTCGATTGACCTAAAGCCCTTGAATAGCATGTTCAATAACACCTTTGTCATCGTATTACACGTACCACTCTGCACCAAGTCATCAAAAAAAAAAGCGAGGTGGTGTTTAACATAAAAAAAAAAAGAGAAATTAATCGGTTGTAACCAATGTAAGGTAAAATAACAAGATTTAACCCTAAACCCAAAGGAAATCTTAAAAATATAAGGACAACTAATAATCAACTTATGATTCTTTCTCTTTTTTCTTGGTGATTATTTATTTGTTCGAAATGTTGCTTTTCCTTCTTAATCTTTGAACATGAATGTGAAAAAAAAATAGTTGAATAAGCCATAATGGATTCGGTGTAGCACAAACAATGGGTCGGATTATCGGGTAACTAAATAGATTAATAAATTACACAAAATGGTTTAGATGGTTTGGTTTAGTCTGTTTATTTTATTCATTATTTTTTTTTTTTAACTTAGGGCATCTTGATTGTTTGTTTTTAAATTGAAACATATTTATGATTTGTTCTTGCTTTGGATTTCGTCTCTATCAGACCAAAAAAGATTATATTGCTATTTTCTATTGAAACGTCAAAAACTGATGCATCAATGGTGGTGGCAAAGGGTTCATCAAATTAATGTCGATCGTTTATAGAGTGTTCATCAACTTCACAAAGGTATTGAAGCGTCAAAAACTAATGCAGTAGTGGCAACAATTCACCAGACGATTAAGGAAAGCGGCTAATTAGAAGTGAAGCCCCCAATGGGACTGAGACTGATGACCAACCTCTTGACTTTAAAGACCCTATGCAAAAAGTAAAAATGGTCCCTAAAATTTTGGATTATCAACTAATATCGACAGATACCGATGGATTTGTGACAACTTAGCAACATTTTAACAAAGGATTAACAACGGATTAGCAACAATTTAAAACTTCGAGCGCCTTCGATTTTTGATTGACCATTTTGTCAATTGATCTGCTAATCGTTTCTGGCATGGCCTGAGTTTTAATTTGTATTTCCCTAAAGTTCTACAAGTTCTAAATACTTATGTCTGATATCTGAAGTTCGCACATGCTATTCAAAAGCTCTACAGGTGGTGGCACCTAGAAATTGCATTAAAGACCTAGATATGGCTCCCAGCAAATTATATGCAAGATGAGGGTTTGCACCTTGGCAGTTATATGTATAATGCTAGTTGACTTTGTGATACTTACAAAGAAAACCAAGAGGTGGCTCTTGGCACTTGCCTGTAAGACCGAGGTTTTGGCCCCCGACTTGGCAAGTAAAGACCATGATACGGCTTGTGACATAATGGCAACTGTCAGACTATGGCACAGTTGTCAATAGCGACCATAGCGGTCGCTATAGCGAATAGCGTGGCGATGCGGTTGATGACCGCTATGGAGTAAATAGCGACAGATAGCGGTCAATTTAGCGATAGGGTTATTTTTATTTTATTTTATTATTTTTTTTTTAAAAAAAAGCTGGAATAACGTATTAGGGTTGACGCTAACTCAAATCAAGTCTCGTTCGCTAGTCGCTACTTCGCCTTCCGCCTCTGCGCTTCTGAATCGTTGCGTCCACCTCCAGCGAACCCCTGCATTCTTCCGGCAACTTCTCTGGCTTCGACCAAAGATTTCTCCTGCGACTTCAGGTCCGATTGGAGGATTTGCTTATTTTGTTTCTTTTCTTTTTTCTGTTTTCAATTGGTTTTGCTGTCTTTCACTTTGGTTTGATGATTAGGCTTAGTATTACAATTAGTATTACACTTCTTTTCTTTTTTCTGTTTTCAATTAGTATTACACTTCTTTTCTTTTTTCTGTTTTCAATTAGTATTACAATTAGTATTACACTTCTTTTCTTTTTTCTGTTTTCAATTAGTATTACACTTCTAATTCATGATTTGATCACTGCTACTTTCTTAGAAATGGCTAATAAAAGAGAAACTGATCCTGGATGGGCTTATGGGACAAGGGTTGAAGGAAATAATCAATGGGTGCAATGTAATTTCTGTTCTTTTGTGTCAAGAGGGGGGATTACAAGGCACAAGCACCACCTTGCTGGTGACACCGCTCAAGTAGCAAAGTGTTCAAAAGTCCCAGCTGAGGTCAAGGCTTTCTTTAAAGAAGCTTTTGATAAGAAGAAACAAGCAAAAGAGGCAATGAATAGCATACCACACTTTGATGATGTTGTGGATCTAGATGAAGAAGTAGATGATGACGAATTGAACACTCAAAAGAGGCGTTGCCCTGTTTCATCCTCCGGATCAACAGCAACTAATAAAAACACTAAAGGGCCTATGCATGCGTAATACAACCAATCTGAAACAGGGGGTAAGAAAAATGGGCATTTGGTTGGAACTCCACAACATAAAGATGTCCAAAAAAGTTTAAGAGCAGATGCGGTCCAAAAGTTTTCACGTTGGATGTATGATGCAGGTGTGGCATTCAATGCTGTGAAATACGACACTCTAGGGCCCGCAATTGAAGCAATAGCTAGACATGGTTGCGGTATGAAACCGCATAGCTATCATGAGGTTCGAGTCCCGATGTTGAAGCTTGAAAAGATGCACACTAAGAAAATTATGAGTGAAAATGAGGCTGAAAAGACAACATATGGATGTTCCTTAATGGCAGATGGATGGAGGGACAGAAAAGGAAGGGCACTAATAAATTTCTTAGTGAATACTCCCCGAGGAAGTATGTTCCTTGAATCGGTTGATGCATCTAGTTATTCACATACCGGTGATAACATGTTCATTTTGTTTGACCGTTTCATCAAACAAGTCGGCCCACGTGATGTTGTTCAAGTAGTCACAGATAGTGCTAGCAACAATGTTTTTGCTGGCAAGCTTGTGGAAGAGAAATACCCTCACATCTATTGGACTCCTTGTGCAGCGCATTGCATAGATTTGATATTTGAAGACATCTTCAAATTGCCACATTTAAAAAGGACACTTGATAAGGCAATCGCGGTGAACACGTATATTTACAATCGTACTTTACTACTTAATATGATGAGAGAGTTCACCGGGCAAAAGGACATGGTGAGGCCCGCAAAGACCCGATTTGCCACAGCTTTCATCACCCTAAATTGTTTTAAGGCTAACAAGAGGAATTTAAAAAAAATGTTCACTTCTGAACAATGGAACAGAAGCAGTTTTCAAAGTTGGATGGAGGCACGCACACGGCGAATGCTATATTGACGCCTAACTTTTGGAACAATATAGATATTGCAGTGAAAATTGGTTGCCCGTTGTTAACTGTGCTTCGGTTAGTTGATGGAGAGAGAAAGCCTCCAATGGGTTACATATATGAGGCTATGGATAGAGCAAAAGAGGCGATTGCTCATGCTTTCAAAAACAAAGAAGATAAGTATGCAGAAGTCTTCAAAATCATTGATAGGAGGTGGAATTGCCAATTGCATCAACCTTTGCATGCTGCTGGGTATTACTTGAATCCGGCCCTATATTATGAAAATCCGAATGTGGAAAATGATGATGAAGTGATGAGTGGATTGATGTCGTGTATTCATAAATTAGCATTGAATGAGGACGACGAGATGAAGATTCATGCCGAGCTCCCAATATACCGAAGTGCACAAGGGATCTTCGGGAACCCGATAGCGAAGAAAATGAGAGTAAAAATTGCACCAGGTAAATAATATCTAAATAATATACTTCGTATAATTATAAATTTTAACATATCTTTAATTCTTTATATTATTTTGTTACTAAATTAGCGGAGTGGTGGATGCAATATGGAGCATTAGCCCCGGCATTAAAAAAGTTTGCGGTCAAGGTGCTAAGTCTTACTTGTAGCTCGTCAGGTTGTGAGAGGAATTGGAGCGTATTTGAACATGTAAGTAACTCGGTTTTTGTGAGCTGAAGTATAGATATACTTTGTATTGTATAATTATAATTTTTAACTTACTTTTATGTAGTTACATTCTAAGAAAAGAAACCGGCTAGAGCAGCAAAAGTTAAATGACCTTGTTTATATCAAGTATAATCGGGCTTTAAGAAGGAGGTACAATATGCGTGATACGATTGACCCAATTATATTGGACGATGCAAATGTTCTAGATCCGACTGAGTGGTTGATGGGAGGCGAAGAAGAGGAGGAAGATGCCCCGGTCTTCGAGGGTGAGAATTTAACATGGGGTCAAGTTGCAGATGTTGTTGGGGCATGTGAGCCACCTTATTCTACAAGAAGCAGGAATAGGGGGGCTGTTGACAAGTCCGCATCAAGCTCCAGAGGAAGATGTTTAATAGATGAGGATGATGACAATAATTTGGGTGAAGAAGAAAATGATGTAGCTGCTTATAAAGATTTTGAGCCATCATCTATTCAAGATGATGATGATGAGCCTGTCTATGAAGATCTAGATGATCTTTGATTTGGGTTTTTGAGTTTAGACTTTAGACTTGCCTTTGTTATTTATGTTTAAAAACTAACTTGGTTAAGTTATTTAGCTAGTTTAATGGTTTGTTTGCTTATTTATTGGTTATAATAGCTATAATAGTTACATAATATATATTTTTTAATATTTGTATACCTATCGCTAAATACGAAATAGCGGTCGCTATTTACCGCTATTCGCTACGTAGCTTATAGGTGGCCCATCGCTATTTACCGCTATTCGCTATCGATAACTATGGACTATGGTTAGCACATATCAATTTCTATTATATGTATGATATGTAGTATTTTGGGAAACTAACTAAGCTTTGTGCTTACGGTTTTATGTTTATGG